GCCACAGCGCTCCCAGCACCGCAGAAATCACGGTCTCTTCCACCGGTCATGAAGCAACTGAAGGCACGAGTCCCACGTCACAGGAGATCACCCTAACCAGACTTTTCCTTGAGCAGGTAAATCAATCTCAGGTATAACAGATGAACTATGAGAAATAACCCAGGAAACAAATAAAAATCATAATGACAGGTTGCAACTGCCTATTTTTAGTTCTTTGTGTGGGGCGAGAATATGCTGCTCTACGTTTGTATGCAGATAAATCATCTTGACTGTAATGAACTCCTAAAGCAGAGAGACATCACAGAAATGGGCACGGCACGAATGCCCGCCTGTTTAAATAGGGAATTCTTTGCAATTTCATCCGGTAATGGTGAGTTACAGCAATTTAGGAAGCTGGTAATTGGCTTTGGAAAATGTTGCTTGCTTGCTGTGAGGTCTTTTTTCCTTTCAGCAAAAAAAGAGGGCAGCAAACTGGACAGACATGGACACACAGGACAGGGTGGAAGGCAATGCACCACGTGGTGATGGACAGTTATCGTCTGATGCTGGATCACTAAATCCCTGAGAACAAGGATTTTATGCCCCCGTCCTCTCTCCGGCACAAAACCTTGCATTATTGTGTTCCTCAAATATATATATAACAACATAATAAAATATAGAAATGTATTCCTGCCTGGAGTTAGGCATAACCGCTGCCAGCAAGCAGCCGAGGACTGAACGCGCACCAGTTAACCACGTCATGACCCAGGTACTGGGGAACTCAACCTTACGAGAGAGAGTTTTCCCTGCCAGGCTCTTCATCCGTTGCCTTCTCTGATCACTGCGTTTCCTAAACAAGCAACTAAAGTAGCTATAAAACACCTTGCAATTTTCCTTGCAATCAGCAGCCAAGCGCCAGGACAGAATGAACTGTGAAGGTGCCTCAGTCACCTCAGGGTGATGGACATGGCTGGAAGGTGGCAAGGGCCGAGTTCTTCTCTGGTAGAAAAATACTGGCAGAGGACAGTTTCAGCGTCTGTGGGACTAAAAGCATCGCTCCCCATCACAGCAGGCAAGTGCTCGCAGCTCTGGATGTTGTGCAGGCGTTGATTCAAGGGACAGAGAAATCATCAGGTTCCAGATCATCACCAGCACTCGCACGACGAGAGTAAAGCACTCGATTCCTTTCTGCAACCCCGCACTAAAACCACAAAAGCTGTGAGCAATGAAAGGGTGCAGTAAAATAAATTCTCCTCTCAACTTTGGTGGCAACGGATTAGCAGGTCCAAGAGTTACCAGGGAAGGAGGAAAAAACACATGCACATAAATGGGAAAATTCATGAGCACGTAAAACGCTTCTTTTTTTGTTTGTTTGTTTTTAGGTAAGCGGGCTAAGAAGGGACTAATGACAAATTAAATGACATCATGGTAATTTAGAGGGGATCAGCAGGTCTCCATATAATGAGGTGGAATTAAACTGCTGGAGTGCCTCCACATATGCAGGCGTACTTCTATAGGGAAAACATGAGAACGGCAGGGTCAGGGCTAGGATTTATCGACACGAACTCAGCAAAAGCAAGTGAGGGAAACGCAGTGACAAAACTCCAATGCCAAAACCCCAGGCTGTTTACTTGGGGATGTTTGGGGCATTCAGTACAGTGCTGAGGCTTAGTGAAACACAACAATTCAAAAGAGAAAGGATCACCTTATTCTGCTGGCTGACTGCAAGCGTGGAGGTGGAAAGGTGGGAAAAGGAGCTGCCAAAGTGGAACAGATCGGAAAGCAGAAGTGGTAAACAGTTTGATTAAGCCAAAACAGTTTATAACTTTACGGTTTCCTCCCGATTTGTACTTGAGTTGCTCCGAAATTCCCTCCTCCCCGCTCGCCAGGTCCCCGCAGCGGAGGGCTGGATCCTGCCCGGCATCTCTCACCTCCAGCGGCTGCTGTCAGCTGTGGAATTTGCTCCTGATTTATTCCACGCTGGAGAAACACCTGAGAAAAGAAAGAAACGACACAGCTGCTGAGGGAGATTACTTCTCTTTTCTTCCCACTTGGCCAAAAGCTTTCTCAGGAAATTGTGTTATTGGCCATGGATAAAATGAAGTACCGCTAATGGAAACCTGATTGATTTTTCATATTTGCTGACCTGCAGCAAAGAGATAAGAAAATCAAAGATAGTCCGCAACCTCAATCAAGTGAGGGTTACTTATTTCAAGAGAAATAAGGTTTAGAGGGAGATGACAAAATGCCCCCCGTTTCAGCTTTTGGGAGACTTTTCCACACTCCATACGTTTTTTGCCAGGTACGGGACAAACTTCTGCCCAAGCTACAAGGTTTTGCCTGCATTAAAACCCTCCTTATGGGTGGGTACAAGGAGGTGGGAGGCCATTTGCCTTTACTTGAAGAGAAAAAGGTGATCAACAACGTCCAGTAAAGGAGTAAGAGACAGTCAAAGAAAAGCAAAATCCTTCTGTGTGCAAAAAATTAGATTAAGAGCACAACAGACAAAAAAAAATAACGTAGAGAACAGAAGCTGCAGCCAATAAACAAACAAGCGGCACAAACCTTTAAAACTACTGAGGAATAAACATTTAATTAAAAAAGCAATTGCTAAACAAGCAGGAAACATTCCCTCAGCATCACAGGAGCAGACAAAGATAGTAAAGTCTAACCAGCTTACTCCTAGTTAGAGAGTCCTGAAGGTCAGGCTTAATTAAAACTCAGACCACCCTACCACCAGCATCTGTTTTACAAAATAAAATCAGATTCCCAGCTGGTATCTGGTGCCTTTGGCTGGAGAACAGGACAGACCCCCAGGTCTTCCAGCACCGGGCACCAAACATCCCTGAGTTGGCACCAAAATTGCCGGGGACAGACAGAAATTTTGCACTTTTTAGACCGGGCCTAAGGAGAGCAAAGCCCATCTCTAACCCATTTTCTGTAGAGGGTAGGTGGCTGCAGAGGCAGGGATGCAGCCAGGAGCCCAAGTCCCTGACCGCACCAGCCGTTGCCCTCGTGCCCAGCCACGATCTCATTATCAAAGGTGAAAATCACTCCGCTCAAACTCTGCTTGGCCACCGACTTCAACAGAGGGAGACAGTGACTTCGCCGCAAGTTCACAGACACAGTACATCTATTAAGTTACTGCGGTCATGCCCCAGGCAGGGTTTTTCATCCCACCGCTTTGAGTTTGCTTGGGCGTGGCTCTGTGCCATTCTTTCAGACAATTTCTCAAATCCTAAAGAAAACACCTTAATTCCCCTTCCCCCTTTTTGAGAGATTAATCCCGGGAAACCACCAGCTCCCTGCAGTATCCATCATCCGTCCCTACTGCTTTGTATCAACTCCACAGCAATTAGGCACCTATTTTGCTGCTGACTGCTGCTTTTCATCCAATTGCCCGTGTCACGTTATCCTCTCGTCACGTGGCTCGGATGCGTTTCTTCCTCCACTTGTTACCGCTGCTCGGGCACTCAAAACACAAATTAATCAAGGCAGGAACTGCCTATTCATCATACTTTCACAGAACGGCTTAGCGCGAGGGGCAGAAGGCCTCTCCAAGAATGCAAATAAACACTAACATTGAAGGAAAAGCACTAAGCAACAGACTAATTCATATAAAAACTTTATTAGAAACGAGGACACAGCCTCCCAGGAACAACATTCTACGTTATGTCCCAAACTTTTGCAATTTAACGGCCATAATTAAATACCAGTAGCTACAAAAACGGCGTGCACATCTATAAAAGGGAGAACTAATCCTCAAATGGCCATTGTTCCAAACATGGTCGGAGATAGTATTTTTCCACGGTGGTTTGCACGCACGTGGGCACACAGACACTCACCGAGGCTGTGAGCTGGCACACTGCGGGTGGTTTTTTTTGTTGCTTTCTGTCCTAGGAACCAGGATGGGGTTTCATCTTATCAGAAGTGTGATTTGCTTCAATTCAAAGAGAGAGAAGAGAAAGTTGTTACGGCTTGATCTTGCATCTGTTATGCTGGGTAAACAGTTGGTACTTTCCAATCTTAAAATCACACAAAAGTGAATATGATCCTATCACTAGTTTTATTTCACTGGTAAATAATAATAATAATTAAAGAACCCCAGATACTACTATCACAGAAAAAAAGACCGGCCTCATTTAACCACCATCTACGAACGAGAAAACAAAGGATAAATAGGGCATAGTTTATAAAAGACTTTTCTTCTACTTATACCCAGAAAGTATCACCTGTCTAATCCAGGACCAGTTTTAAAAAGCGCTAATTTTTAGCGCACCAACCACTATATTATGATTGCAATTCAGCCGCATACTATTTAGTACAAAACACAAAAAAAGGAAGAAGAAATACTTAAAATATATCAATGTCTCAGTTTCGTTACAGATGTTTTCCATCTCGTGCCGTAAAAAAGAGTTTAAAGCAAAATAGATATACAAAAGCTACTGTGCTCAAGTCAGCGGCATATGTACACGTTTAAATCAGAACAATACAAAAAGTATTCTAGTAGCAAAGGCAATATATAATATTTTATATAAACAGTGTTTGAAAAGTATAAAATTAGGAAATAATGCATAGAGGAGTGTGTGTTCACAGGCCCTGCAGCAACGTGTTATTTGCAGCAATGGCCTCATTAGCAAATCCTTGCAGCGAAGGCAGAATTTACACCAGATCCTGAAATGAACAACTCATTGCCTGCAGAATTCGCTGGTTATGTTGGGAAGGGGGTAGGCAAAGAGGGAGAAATCCAGGATATATTTTGGTAACAGCTCTTTTATCAGCCGGCGTTGGGTGTTGCACAGGTAGTAATGGAGCGTTTCTGCCGTCACGGGCTTGTACCACGACTGCCGTTCGGGGAAGCGGATGAAGGAGGGCGACTGGACTCGCTCGAGGACGTGGTTGGCGTCCGAAAGTGGTGGGCGCCGGCATTCGGCCGCTCGTGGGAGCCGATGAAGTCGTACCTCACGGCACAGGGCTGGCACAGGTTGTAGATGGGCATCCAGTGCTCGTTCATCCTCTCTACCTCCTCATCCAGCAGGTACCGGAGAAACTCGGAGAAGGTCACGTCATCGCCCGCTGAATTCCCCCCGTTCTTCCGATACCGCCTGACGATCTCCACCCCGTACTTCTGCTGGTACTCCTTGATCTCCCCAAATTTGTTCCTGTA